GTGGGTGGCTCAAAGTGACATGATTTGGCCACTGAACCTGAGCAGCACCTACGCAGAAAGAGTGCAGAGAACATATGTTGTATATGTTATTTTGGGGAAGTTCTATGGCCTGTGCAGAAGGTCAGACTAGAGGATCATAGTGGTTCCTTCTGGCCTTGGAATCTATAAATCAGCAGGTCCAGATAACTTGCACCCAAGAGTTTTAAGAGAGCTGGCTGCCCAGCTCACTGGTCTGTTAATGAGGATTTTCAATAAGTCTTGAAACACTGGGGAAGTTCCACAAAATTGGAAGAAAGCTAATGTTGTGCCAGGTCTGTCATTATAGGTCTGTCAGATTGGTATCAAGCCTGTGCAAAATAATGGAATGGATGATAGGGGACTCAATTAATAAAGAATTAAAGGAGGATAATATAATTAATGCCAGTCAACACAGATTTATGGAAAATAGAGCTTGTCAGAATAACCCGATATCTTTTTTTGGATGAGATTACAAGTTTGTTTGATAAAGGTAATGGTGTTGATGTAATATAATTAGACTTATGTAAGGCACCTTACTTTGTACGGTACAACATTTTGAACTAGAACGATGCAAAACTAACATGGCACTCAAATGGATTAAAAACTGACTAACCAATAGGTCACAAAAAGCCAATGCTGCAACAAAGGCAAATGGCCTTCTGGGATGTACTAATAGGAGTGTTGTATGTAAGACCACAGGAGGTAATTGTTCCCCTCTACTTGGCGCTGGTAAGGCTTTAGCTGGAATGTCATGTCCAGTTTTGGGAACCACACTTTGAGAAAGATGTGGACGAACTGCAGAGAGTCCAGAGGAGAGCAACACAAATGGTAAGTAGTTTAGAAAACATGACCTGTGAGGAAAGATTGAAAGAAATAGGCATGTTTTTGTCAAGAGAAGACTGAGGGGGAGAATTTATAACAGTCTTCAACTATGCAAAAGGTTGTTATAAAGAGGACTATGATCAATTGTTCTCCATGTCCACTGAGGATAGGACAAGAAATAATTGGTTTAGTTTGCAGCAGGGGAAATTTAGGTTGGATATTAGGAAAAGATTTTGAACTATGAGGATAGTTAAGCACTGGAGCACGTTACCTACAAAGGCTGTGGAAGAGAAAATTATTGATGTTATAACAACAGGAGGTTCTTTAAAACGTATGGTCCCTATCTGTAATCCCCCGTGGGTACGCATGTGGTCCATGCACCTGTACTCAGAGAACTTTGAAAGCAGTGTTCATTGGTCCACGCACACGCCCTTGCTCTCCTTGTGCCTCCAAGGAGATAAAAGGGCAAAGTGGACTAGCCACCTGTCCAGTTCCTTCTCTACTGCAAATCCAATGATGCAAAGCAGAGGGAAAGGAGGGTGGGTAGTGGAATACAGATAGGGACCACACAGCTCAAAGAACCTCCACTTACTATAAGGTAAGTAACTTTCTCTTCTTCTCTGAGGGGTGGTCCCTATATGTCCTCCATTGTGGGGACTGACAAGCAGTCAGGATGCAAATGCTATGAAACTTTGTCTCCATGGAGTGTGATGTAAGGTGGATCCACCATCAGTGCTCCAAGATCCCTCACTGCTGGAATGATTAATAATCTTTGAAATTATTAATATGGAAAACCACTAATTTAACCATTGTGGCAGGGCACTGCAAGAGAAGCCCTTAATCAGCTCCTGCCACTCCAGGGCTGGGTGAACTGCCCTGTGTTTGCCCGGTAACTGACCACACCTGCCAGCCTCATTAGCAGGAGCTATAAGGCTGGAAGGAAGTGAGAGAAAGGGTGTGTGTGTGTAGAGACTAGGAGTGGGAGGTCAGGCTCAGAGGGAGTAGACGCCTCCTAGTCTGTTGCTGGCCAGGCTTGTGGTAGGCCAAGCAGCTGTAAAGCCTGTATATAGCTGGAAATGGATCACAAATAAAGAACACGGGTGTTGCACAGACTGAAGTGCCCCTGATTCATGGAGGAGAGGGCCCAAGGGGCCGAATCCAGAGGGGTGCAGTGTGTACCCCATTACAACCATAAATTCCTTTATTAAATCCAAAGACAAACTTATACAATTACTCTAAACATGCCTAAAAAGCCTAAATAATAAGCAATGCATCCAAACAGAAACAAAACTTGTATAAGCATTTGATCAAGATACTTACAAATGGGCTACAAGCAAGGAGTGCTTAGACCCATATTGGTCGGCTCCAGCTTGGTCAGGCAGGTATTAGCAATGAACCCTTTAAGAATTTACTATTTATATCTTATAAAACAAGTTATGTCACTGCCAATTACTGACTTCAGCAAAAGACAATTGGAGACAGTTCACCCTTATTTCCAGCCTTAATCCAGGTAAGATTTACAACCTCCTTTCTTTCCAAGGCCTTTCCTCCCTCCTTCTTGCTGTCCAACTATTGCACCTGGGTTCACACAAGCATTAACACTGGTGTGTGGGCTGGGGAAGGGAAGGGTTGGCTCATTTAAAGACAGATTCTCTTTGTTTTATTTAAAGTCATCTACAGCTTCCCCTATTGGTCAGAGGCCTTCTGTTTAGAAACTTCCCTTTATCTCACTAGTTGTTCTTTGAACCAGACGTCCTCCCTACGTTAGTCCTCCTGACCTTATCACTTAACTTAAGCTAACTTTAATTTTTTAATTTTGTACTTATCCTACACCCCCCTCCTAGCTGAGGTTATGGCTCCCAGGAATGCAACCTTCATAGACAAGCGAGACACGGAACATGTAGACATCGGTTCCAAGGGCGGCTTTGTGAGCGCCGAAAGAACAAGGGCGTAGGTCCCATTGAGGAGCAGGGTTCCTTACTGGCAGAAAGGTTCTAACTCAGCCATTCCAGAATCAGGCAGTCAGCGGGTGAGCAAAAATTGAGTTCCCATATGAAGGTGGGTGGTATGCACTGATTGGTGCCAGGTCAACTCATAAAGAGCTGCTGGAAAGACCAGCTGCTTTGAGGGAAAGAAGATTGACAAGAATAAGGGGAATACCTGCAGCTTCTGGGGATATAAGTTGTTGTTGTGCCCAGACAGAGAAACACTTCCACTTGGCTAAGTAGCTTTTCCTAGTGGAATCTTTTCAACTATTAGTAAGGATGCTTTGCATGGCTTCAGAGCAGAAATGTTCTAGAGTTGATGCCCATCCAAAAAAACCATGCCTGAGATGGAGTGCTTGGGGGTTGGAATGCTTGATTCTGCCCTTCCCCTGGGTCAGGCTACCGGAAAAGGGCTGAATATTGATCGATGACTAAGATGACAGGAGTACGAGACTCGGGAATCAAAACTGTCTGGTCCAGTTGGGGGCGATGATGATGACTCGTATCTTGTCCTGATGAATCTTCCGCAAGACTCAAGACAGGAGTGGTAAGGGAGGGAAGGCCTAGTTCAGGTGATCTGACCGCAGAAGGAGAGTGTCACCCTACGAATGAAGCCCTAGGGCGCCTCTGGAGCACTATATGTTACACTTCCTGGTTGTTTGACAGGTGAACAGGTCTGTGGTGGGGGTTCTCCATACAGCAAAAATACTGTTCGTCACGGAGTCGTGTAGCTCCCACTCATGGCTGATAGCAAAGCGTCTGCTGAGCGTGACCATCAGCTCATTTTGATTCCCTGCAAGGTAAGCTGCCAAAAGCCTGATCTGATTGCTGATGCACCAGTTCCATGGATTGACTGCTTCTGCACATGGGGATGGATCTCACTGCTCCCTGCTTGTTGGTGTAAAAGATGGTTGTCATATTAGTCGATATTACCAAGACATGGGGATGTTGTATGAATAGGAGAAAGGCTTCCACAATTCCATAATGTTCATATACATCCTGGTCTCTCGGGATGTCCAAGTGTCCTGTGCTGTATGACTGTCCATCTGGGCTCCCCAGCCTAAGAGGGAGACATCTGTAATGATCACTGTGCCTGGTGAGGGGGAAAGGAAGGGACACCTACGCATATTTGGTGGGATCCTTCCATAGTAGAGATGATTACTATGGTGGGAATATTACTCTTGTGTTCATGGACAGTTTGTTTGATGAGTACACTGTCTGAAGCCATGCCTGTAGGCAGCGAAGATAGAGTCTGTCAAAAGATGTGATGCAAGTGCATGAAGCCGTATGTGCTTAGAGAGAGAGACATTTTGGTTGATGTTCAAGGGTTGTTCGTGACCTGATCCATAAGGTCATTCATTGCTTGGAACCTGTCCACTGGCAGGTAAGCCCTTGCCGTGACTGAATTTAGGGACACCTTGACAAAGTCTAAAGTCTGTGTTGATATTAGGCCGGCAGACACTGCCTTCAAAATTCTCCAACTCTGGGTGCATGGAGCGCATGTGTACCCACAGTGAAATACACAGAAAGGCCAGCACTTGAAGAAGAATCTCTGTTATTGGATGGAAGAGTACAAGGAAACAATAGGACAACACGACCCAGTACGCCGGACAGTGGTCTCAGCACACCAACAGCCTAACCTTAGTTAATTTTTTTGTAGGTAAAGGATTTTAAGGAGGCATTTATAGGAGGATAATGAGGGGAGCTCCTCCTAAGCCTGAGAGGCAGCATAGGAGAAAGCATGAATATGCGTGTTTGAAAATCAGAATGGATAGAAGCAGGGCAAGACAGCATTTGTCAAGGCCAGACAGAAAGATGTGGCAATAAGAGAGAGATCTTATTCAATCAAGAGAACGTGGATGACAGTTTTAGCTCTTTGGGTGGACAGAAAAAGGCCTTATCTTAGAGATGTTATACAGAAAGATTTGGCAAGATTAAAACATAATCCAGATGCAAGGATTTAGACAGGGGTTTGAGTCAAAGATGATGCCCAGGTAATGGGCCCAAGTGACAGGCGGGCGGATGGTGTTGTCACAGAATCATAGACTCTCAGGGTTGGAAGGGACCTCAGGAGGTATCTAGTCCAACCCCCTGCTCAAAGCAGGACCAATCCCCAACTAAATCCATAGTGAGCAGGTAGTGAAGAGGAAATGGCGGGGAAGGTCAGGAGCTGTTTTAGCCATGTTGAGCTTGAGCTGATGGCTAGACATCCACGAGGAGCTGTCGGAGACAGGCCAAGATTTTAAGTCTGGACAGAAGGAGACATGCCTGGAGCAAAGGTAGATCTGAGAGTCATCAGCATCCAGCTGGTAGTTGAACTTGTATTTGTGGATGAGATTACCCTGTATAGATGTGTAGAGGGAGAAAAGGACCAAGGACAGAGCCATATGGAGCCACCATATAATGTTGGAGTGCAGATGAGGATCCCCCTCCAAAGGACACGTTGAATGTGTGACTAAAGACGTAGGAGGAGAACCAGGAAAGGGCAAAATCACCAAAGCCAAGGGAGGACAGGATTTCCAAAAGAAGAGCATGGTTGATGGTGCCAAAGGTGGCTGACAGATTGAGGAGCTTTGTCTAGGAAGAGGTTATTCGAGACGATGGCAAGAGTGCTTTCAGTGGAGTGTAAGGGCAGAAGCCAGATTGGAGAGGGCCTAGGATGGAACTCCAGACAGCAAGCTCTACACTTTGTGTTAGGAGGACAGACGAGATGATCAACAGTGGTCCCTGCTGGCCTTGATACTCTATTATTTTAGACAGTGTGTTCAATGAGCTTTGTAGATGGAAGGGAGATGGGGCAGTAGTTGGAGAGACAAGTGGGGTCAAGCGAGGGTTTTTTAAAATAGGAAAGACTAAAGCATGTTTGTATTGCGAGAGGAAAGAGCACGAGGAGAGTGAGAAATTACAGAGAAGAGTGAAAGTTGGTGCGAGGGAGATCAGGAGATGGGATGGGATCAGGGCAAGTGGAGACATTAGATAACAGAACATCTGTGCTTCTGTTCCTGCAGCTCCCTCTGCTGTGACCCTCACAGCATGGCATCTTGAAGGGTGGTACAGGGTTACTCATTTTCCCCTTGGATGGATTTTTTTTCATTCTAGGACTGGTGCCTGGGGAATAGCTATTGTGAGTTTTACAGTAAATAAAAATTCTGCTGCTCATGGCAGGGAGTGCTGTGTCCAGGTGAAACCCAACAGCAACTCCTGGATTCAACTTCCGTATCAGTATTCAATAGAGAACAAGATGCCATATAAATGGCCAGCTCCATGCCATGTTTAGAGGCAGAGCTGTTCTACAGCCATTCCCAAAGGGAAATGAGGATCAGGCTGCGAGGCTCCTTGGGACCTGACACACAGCCAGCAGTGGTCACACTTGGCATAGTACAGGGTCTTTATTCAACAATGGGAGGCAGGGGAAAGGGAGGGGGCAGTGCAACCTTCATGCACCTCCTTACACAGAAGCCAGGAGAAGAGTTTTCTCTGAAGCCGTTCAGGTTCTGCATTTGGATGAATGAAGAGTATGGGCCCCTCCATGCCAGACCAGCTGGGAGACAGGCTTTCCCTTGTCTGGGGAGCTCCCACCCCAAGCACGTGGCCACCAGCAGCTATGCACAAACCCTCCAGCACTGAATAAAACCAGATGGAGGAGACAGCCTGGAGCTCACAGGAGTGGAGAGCCGACCCAGAAATCTCTCTGCTGGGGATGATGAGTGGAGGCTTGAGGGGATCTGACAGGCATGGAAGGAAATCCTGGAGTGGCAATTGGCAGGAACAATGCTAGTGTTGTGTGGTCAGCCAGGACGAGGCTCCTCTCTGCTCATCTCTGGTATGGGTGCATTGAGGCAGATTTGATGTTGGTTTTTATGCCACTGGGTATCTTACCTAGAGAAGAAAAAGGAGTCGTGCAGTCACTTGATAAGAGAAAGGGTCTGTGCAGGACAGCGCAACATCAGTGCAGAAACAGCCCTATTGGGAGCCATCCAGTCCCAACCCCAGGCTCCAGGGCAGGATGGTTAGAACATAAGAATGGACACACTGGGTCAGAATAATGGTCCATCTAGCCCAGTATCCTGTCGGCCAACAGTGGCCAGTGCCAGGTGCTTCAGAGGGAATGAACAGGACAGGGCAATTATCAAGTGATCCTCTCCTGTCATCCAGTTCCAGCTTCTGTCCCATCCTAAATAAACCCTTCCTCTCTCCTTCCTGGTTACACCCTTCATCACGTTTGCAGGCAGGTAGGTTTGCTACCATTGGTCATTATTTTGGCCAAGCCATACATTATAATTTGCTCCGCTATAGCCACTTCACAAGGATCTCAGAGCATTAATGACTAACACTACACTGGGTCTTCCTCAATGTTAATTTAGGGTTAAGGCTGCTGCTCAAAGGTATTTTCCAACAACACTATCAGTGCACATCCAGGAACTCACCAGTAGGCAGAGTTACATCCACACTAGCCTCAACTAACACCTCCTTCCCCAGACGTTATACCCATCATCCCTGGATTCTGTGGCAGCTTCAAGAATAATTTAGAAAATTGAGATTTTTAGTGAATTAAATAGGAGCATGAGTAATTCAGTCAGCTCAGCTTTCCTTATGATATTTAATTCAGTGGTTTCTGGGCTGCCCTGAATTCAGTGTTGTGTGCTACAGAATTCTGTATTGACACTACATTGTCGTTTCATTGCAGAAGCTGTGGGTAGAAGTGGAGGTGTTGGCAGCTGGGCCCCCCACACCCTTGGAGTGGGAGTGTTTGGAGAAACACATTAACTGGAGGTTTCTGCTAACAGGACCAACCATGAAATCGCTAACAATGCTGACATTTACATTGTCATTGTCAGGGTCCATAATTATCACCCCACTGAGATAAATGAGGCCATTCTACCTCTCTGGGCCATTGTTTCAGGCTGTTTGCTGACCCCGGCAGACACCACTGCACTGGGTATGCTGGGTTATATTTCAAAGGATTCCTTCACAACCATAAAGGCTAGAAATGTGTGTTTTGAATAAAGCTGAGTTTTTGGAGGACACTTACGCATCACAAATCCATGGCCTGGAATGGATCCTAACACCAAACTTAGCCAGGGTCTGCATCTATGTAACACCTTCTGCTTTGAGCATCCACAGCACTCACGTTCTATTGCTCGGAGTCACGCCCATGGAGTGTCTTACTGCTGACTTCAGCATTTCTGGCTAGTAACCGATATGACAATCAAGGTCCAGACACCCCCGAGGGAGAACGGGAGTGAGCCACTGATTTACAGAACAAGAATACAGCATGCAAAGTATATTGAGTAACATCTTGCATCACAGCTTGTCGTGTTCTGAACGTGATGGCCATAATGAAATAGGTATACAGACTGGTTATGAATCTAAGTATTTTTAGCTATAGAAAAATTTGCTAATAACCTGTACCACAACTTCAACTCCACCTCACAGCAAGGAGGGGCACCTCCTAAGGCAAGTGGCTCCATATAATCATCATTGTCCAGCCCAGGAACAGATAATGATGAAAGATGAGAGTTAATGGGGAGACATTGAGACATCCCCTGCTATCACCTCAAGAGGGAATTTCCCCAATCTGAATAACCACAAGTCACCATGGTTTTGGGGGAGATCCCTTTAAAAAGGAGGCTTTCATCCAGAAACCGAGGGACACCTCTAGGCAGGAAGCTGTCAGTGAATGCCAGATTCCACCTTTGTACTAGAGAATATAGGTTCGTTTCACCGTTTGTGTCCCTTTGTTGACTCCAGCTCTGAGTTATTTTATGTCAGTTTGGATCGTATTGTGGGTTAACCTAGATCCCCAAGATACCGCAGTCTACTCAGCTACACCCTGGTGTCCTCCACAACTCCACACCCTGGCAGTTATTGTAACTCCATGAGTACGGTTATTCAGCCAGGTTTAAAGTTGTGGGAGTATCAGAGCCACGACAAACTGAATTCTTCTGTTAAGAAAACAGCATCAAATGGAAATAAGATGCAAAGAGTGAGGGTAACGAACCTCTGGAACGGGTTCCCAAGGGACATAAGCAAGTTCTCCATCACCTGGTGTCTCATGACAGGGAGTTTCTGTCTAAAAGATCTGCTCTAGCTCAGCCACAGGGCACTGGGCTGGAGACAGGAGTCTCTGGCCTGTGCTATACAGGAGCTCAGACTAGATGGTCACAATGGTCCTTTTTAGCCTGAACCCCATGAATCTGTGAACAGTTCCGTAATATCTGGAGTTTAATAACGAGAGGTGTCCCTCAAATCCAGGTCTCTCCAGCTCCATGCCACGGATGCTCTGCTCTCCCTGTCCTGAGCCCCCACCTTGCCCCAAAGAGGTCTCTATCAAAGCCAGGTTTCCCCAGCTCCATACTGCGTATCCCTCTGCTCTCCCTGGCAGCACAGAGAGCGTGGTGCTTGGGGTAGAACTGCTGGCCTCGATGTCCCTCTTTTTCTCCCCATACACCAAGCACTCTTAGGCATTCTTATTTACCTGACTGGCCTGCCTGTGACATCTGCACTCCTCCAAGCATCGGCTGCTGTTGGCTAGAAGCACCTGACATCTGGACCTGCTGGATGCCTGAAGCCCCTGCTATGATGGCACCGGCACCTGGCTGACTTGCTTGGACAGGTCCCGCTGAGCCTGGAGGCCTCCGGTTCGACAGCCCTTTTCCAAACGCCACGGCTGCCACCAGTGCATTGGTATCAGCAGGGTTGAAAGTCTGCTTGTTTTGCCGTAAACCTGCAGGGAAAGAGAAGATTTCTGGAGCATTTCAACAGCCAAGCCCATTGGACACTTCCCAGGAGACAACCTGGGCTCACGACTGTCCTGCGTCTGTAACCATGAACTTGGTGTGGATACCAGTAGATGAAATAGAATAAGGATGGGCCAGCGTGCTAGTGGCACTCAGGAGACTAGGGCTCTACACCCATCAAGGACTCCTTGTGTGACCTTGTGCAAGTCAGTCTCGGTGCCTCAGTTCCCAATCTGTAAAACGGGGATAATAGCCCTGCCCTGCCTCACCAGGGTGTATGATGGTAAATTCACTAAAGACCGTGAGGTGCTCAGACACTATGGGACATCTACGATACATCCATGAGGCCCCTTTCTCCAAGATGCCATGCTGTGGACTGGCAGGTAGCTATGGAATAAGATGGCCCAGCCTACCCGGGCTGTTGGAAAATCAAACCTACTTTCAAGAACTGAACATACATGGTTTCAGGTAACAGGGTCAGGCTGTGCATGATCAGTCCATGTTGGCCATGGATACTGGAAATACCCAAGATCTGTTTTTAAAAACAGTAGATTTCACGTAGAGATAAAAACTAATTTCCCCGTGCTAATTTCCCCCTACTGTTACTCATACCTTCTTGTCAATTGTTTGAAATGGGCCACCCTGATTACCACTACAAAAGTGATTTTTCCTCCTATTGATAATAGCTCACTTCCACTTTTAATTCAATTGTCTCGTTAGAACTGACCCCCCACTTGGTAAGGCAACTCCCATCTTTTCATGTATAATTTGAAATGGGCCACTCTGATTACCACTACAAAATTTGTTAGTCTCTAAGGTATATATTCTGCCTACTGTATTTTCCACTCCATGCATCTGTAGTAGGCAGAATATATATACACAGCACATTTATTTGGGCACAAGGTGCCACAAGTACTCCTCGTTGTTGTAACTTTAGAACTGAGACTCCTAATGGCTATAAAATGGTTATTTGCCTGTTCAGTAACTGCTGCCTTTCATCATGTGTTGCACACGTCCATTCCACTTCAGGGTGAGCCCATGTGTTCAAGTGCACCAAAGCCAGAGCTCTTTTTCCCATACCAGTACCCGTCAAGCAGCGCATGCACTATCCACATGCTTGTGTCGCTAGCCAATAGTATAAAGGGGTAGAGCTGACCTGACCTTCCCTCAGTTCCTTCTTACTGGAAAACAGTAAGTTGGAGTGTAATATAGAGGGGAGGAGGGTGGGTCATGGAATAGATGTGTGCAATACAGCTCAAAGAACAATAGTTACAGAACAGGTGAGTAACTGTTTTTTTTTTCTTCTTCAAGTGATTGCTCATGTCCATTCCACTTCAGGTGCAGTGCAGCAAGGAGGAAGGTTTCAGAGTCTATTTGAACAAGAACTGCAATACAACTCGTCCAGATCTGGCATCTTCCCTTGATGCTTGGAAAATACTATGACTCAGGTACATATTTTCATGTCCAGGTTGCAGCCCTGAAAATGTCACTTATGGGCACCTTACCCAAGGAATGCAGCTGATGCTGCTTGAGCTCTTGTAGAAATGAAGGTTACCCACTTGTAACTGGAGTTCTTCAAGATGGACTCTGCATATTGCCACTCATGGGATATGTTGAGTGATCTGGGGCATGACTAGCTCTTTATTGAAAAGGCTAGCCAATTTAGTCAATTTTATATATTGTCTTTAGGAAACTACAAAGGTTATTGAGATTCGCAGTGTTAAGAGGAAACCACACAACAAAGGCGCTGCCATCTGGGAACTGGTTATCCTAAGAGCTTTGATTTCTTAGATCAGTGGAAATTATACCAGAGCTAAAACAAAGAATTCAGCTGAGTGAAGCCAATGTTTGTTTCTACTTGAGTACATACCTGCTAAACCATAGCACACATGCTACAATCCTCTGACAGACCCTGCTCAGGGAAGCTCAGGCTTCACCATGATGAGAGTGGGTTCCCCCACCTCTTACTGTAATAGTTACATCGGACGCCTCCAAAACAGGTTGGGGAGCGTGTCAACAATCTACTACTATAAATATGTATTTGGCATTTAAACTTCATGAAAACTATGGGATATTACATGCATTGTTTTCACTTATCTGTATCCTGTTATAATATAATGGCAAACATTTACATTGTCATACCTCTGCAACTAAATAAATGAGAAAGAAGCCTTGTGTAATGCAAACAAAGAATTTTAGCAGGAAAGTACTAATTAGTGTGCATTTGAAGGCAAGTGGTAATTGTGTGTGATAATCAGAGATCCAAGACCCTAAATAGACTCTGGGTGGTGACCCTGTCAGTTTGCTTTCTGTAAGAAGAAGCTATAAGTATGGATTCAGGGAAAAATTCTGCATCTCTGGATGCAAAGCAGGGATCCCAGAGAATCTGGTACCTTGAAAAGACTGTTGGGAAACTGGCAGTTTGTTACATCGCTGCCATCATTTGGAATTACCAGACTGCGATTCACCTGTACATAGAGTTAACATCTCAATAACTCTCATTTCCTTTTCTTAGCTAATAAACCTTTTGTTAGTTTACTACAGAACTGGCTACTAGTGTTGTCTTTAGTGAGGCATCTAGAAAGCAACATGACCTGGGTGAGTGACTGGTCTCTTGGGACTGGGAGTAACCTGGAATAGTGTGTGATTTTTGGTATGAATGGCCATTTATCACTAAGTCCAGTTTGTCTGGGTAACAAGACAGACTGGAGAGTCTTAAGGGGACTGTCAGACTCCATGGAAAGACTGTAATAGCAATCCAGGAGTTCACATTTGGTACTGGCTTGGTGAAATCTAATTACAGAACATGCCACCAGTTTGGGATGTCTGCCCTGAGGTAGGCAGTAGGTACTTACGGCTGTGAGCAGTGGTCACTCTAATTTTTCCCACCCATGTGAGAAATTAATTTTGTTATGTCCACCAATATGGAGGTGACGTGTGACACATCACCTCCATACTGGTGCACATAACAAAATTAATGTGGAGGGGTGGGGCCAAGGGGTTCGGAGTGTGGGAGGGGGCTCAGGGCTGGGGCAGAGGGTTGTGGGGTGGGTGAGGGCTCCAGCTGGGGCCGTGGGCTCTGGGGTGGGGCCACGAATGAGGGGATTGGGGTGCAGGAGGTGGCTCAGGGCTGGGGCAAAAAGTTGGGGTGTGGGCTCTGGGCCAAGCTGGGGGAGGGGCTCCTTTCCCTGGAAGCTCTGGCGGGGCAGGGCTGGACCAGGGGAGGGGCGCCTCTCCCCGGCCGCGGCACTTCTGGTGGGCCTGGGCCGGGCAAGGGGCTCCTTTCTCCAGCAGCTCTGGAGGGGCTGGACTGGGGGATCTGTGCGTCCCTAAATAGCCAGCTGCATGGCCGCGCAACTTACAGGGAACTTAGGTTGTGAGCCACTCCACGCAGCATGACAAAGACTATGTGAGATACAACTGAGGTCGGAATCTGAAGCAGAGAGAAAGATTAAATTAGTCTTTCTTGGAGACCCTACAGGTGTCTTCGGAGGTGGAGCTAAGAAGTCAGATGATCTTCATGAAGCCCGATGCAAAAAATTAATTTAGTTTCTCCGTGATGGCCTTATTGTCCTTTTACTTTGTTGTTTAGCCACAGTGGCACTTTTTTTGTTCTCTTACTATGTTCTGTAATTTGGGGTATACATTTAAGTTGAGCCTCTAATATGGTGTCTTTAAAAAGTGTCCATGCAGCTTGCAGGGATTTCACTTTTAGCACTGTACCTTTTAATTTCAGTTTAACTTCCTCATTACTGTGTAGTTCCCCTTTCTGAAATTAAATGCTACAGTGTTGGGCTGCTGTGGTGTTTTCCCCGCCACAGGGATGTTAAATTTAATTATATTATGGTCACTATTACCAAGCGGCCCAGCTATATTCACCTCTTGGACCAGATTCTGTGCTCCACTTAGGACTACACCATGATAGAAAGAACCAGAAGAGATGAAGTGCTCAATTTAGATGGATATTTTGGATTCTTTGGATACTTTACATTGGTATGAATCAGGGCTATTATGTTTTTAGGCTGCGGATCCTTAGCCAACGTTGGACCCACACTGAATTCACAAACCAAGGGATCTGATGAATAACCTGAAATGGGAAATCTTTTCCAGCTCCGAGGTACGTTTCATCTTGGCTTTCTGTTTGCTTGAACTGATGTCCCCAGGTCTGACATGATGTCAGGGGGTTTAAGTTCTCTATCCTGAACGGTCTCCGTAGAGGACTGTACCTTTCTTGCAACGGGGTCTGAATGTTTAGCTACTGAATGCTCGGTTGCCTTGGAACTAGAGCTCAGTGCAGAGGTTGATGCCTTCGGCGTAATCGACTTCCTCAATCCGGAAATGCCTGGGGCTGATTTAGGCCACCTGTTCTTTCCCTCAGATGATTCTGATACCCCCGATCCCAAAGGGGTAACAGTCAAAACTTCTTGTAATAAGAGTGCTTGAAATCTTTTGTCTCTCCTGCTGGACATGGGGAGTGAATGTGCGACAGACAGCATAACACGAAGGACGGTGTCTTTTCTCTAGGCATTTGAAACACCTGGTGTGGGCATCCAAAGCTAGGGGCAGACCACGGAACATAACACACATCTTTTAAAGCCACACTTCTTTGGCCCCACCACAGACACTGGTACTGTCACTAGACACTAAAACCTAGACTAATGCTATTTACTATGAACTACTGGCTAACAAACTAAACTGACTGACTATCCTAAGAGAATAAAGGCACTTATCAAAGCTATTACAGATCCACAAGATCCGGAGAATGTCCATATTCGTCCCAGTGTTGCACTTGGGAGGAAATGAGATGGTTGGGTTGTGCTGTCTCTTTGTGCTAATACTTTTGTTTCCCTTTTATCTAAACCAACCTAGTGCTGTGTCTGAGCTGAAGTGATTGTTAACTCCAGTTAAAGCAGCGAACGGCGATTTTGTCTCTTTAGAGGAGCAACAAACTTGTCCCCAGAGCGGGCTGGGGCGTTCAGGCCAGACGGTTTTGGGGTGCTTTGGGGCTGAGGGGTGTTGAGGTCAAGGCCGGGGAAGACCAGGGTGCGGGCTGCTGGAGTCAGATCGCTGAATCAGGGCTGCAGAGCACACACCACTCGGGGCACTGCATGCTTGTCTGGTGGCTGTTGGTCTGCAGGCTGAGAGTCACAGCAGCAGAGCAGAGTAACAGGGCCTCTCCCTGGCCTGGGCGGAACCCCAAAATGTGACAGCCCCTAATAACGAGTCGATAACAGCAAAGCAAATACCCTAGCCCCCCCTCACCCCCACCCTACATTCTGGGCTTCCCAGGGTGTCCTGTCTGCTACACGTCTGTCTTGGTTAGATGGTAAGCCCTCTGAAGCAGAGAAAACCTATATTTTGGATCTTGGACAGCACCACTCACAACATCAGCACGGAAAAAACAAGAACTAGCAGCCTGCATGGAGCAGTGCTGTTTATGCAGACAGAAGCGTGGCGGGAGATAAAACGCAAGGGTGCTCAACACTGTGTCACTCAAAGTGAGACAGAGCAGGCTGCTGCACATCTTGAAACACACCTTTAATCACAGGGCACGAACAACCCTAGGGCAAAGCTACCAGCTGGCACATTCTCGACTCATTCAGAACATGGCTAAGGGGTTTCTTGTTTTCTTCTGTATTTGCATGGTCATTCTAATTACATTATGCTGATTAAGATACTGTGTTGGCAAACTCCAAGAGCAGCATTTAGGGTCACCTAGAGGGATGTAAAGTGAAGTTGCAGAGATGGCCAGAATGACATTCCTGATAGGATCAGAACTCACCTGAATGATGCTAGTTTGGATCAATTAGATTTCCCTAAAGCACAGAATACCTAATGCCTGGCACAAAGGAAACCCATCTCACGCCGTCTGGATTCCTTTCTAAAAAATGGGTCTCCTGGCTCAGCCTCTCCTCCCTCCGCCCACCCCGAACTCTTCTCCCATAAGGTCCTTCTGCTATCCCCATGCTCTATGGTTTGTGTTCGACTTGGCCTCTCAAGCCTTCCCCTTGGACTCTGTACCCTACCTCCACCCCAGTGCCATACCTCCACTCTCAGACTCTCGCTCCTCCTTGCTGATTTTCTCCAGCAGATTTGAGCACATTTTGTTCAGGCTCTGGATCTGTTTCTGCAAAGTGAAAATAATGAGAAAATGCAAGGACATCTCCAGCATGGTACAGGACAGCAAGGTTAGTGTATAAAACCTTTCCCAGCGGCTGTGTGACTGAATGCAGGCATTTAGGGAGCCTGGGTCCAATAAAAGGTTGGCCGGGAACAGCCATGTGAACGACTGTGTACTCCTCATCTCTGCTGATCAAACAGCAATTCCTACAGAATGGGAAGTGGTTATGGTGCTGACACTTTAGGAGGAGGTGGAGCCCTATGGTCTGGGGCAGCTGGAGAAATCACAGAAGGGGAAAGGGAGAAGGGCCTAGAAGAAAGGCAAATTGCAACAAGGACAGAATGGCAGGATGTAGCAACTCAGGAGCGAGACAGAGAAATGGGGAGCCTGCGCCTGTTCTCTGGGTTGAAGGTGGGTGCAGCACCGAGCTGTTCCTCCCCTACCTGTGCCACATCAGAGCTGATTCGAGTTGCGTCTGTGATCAGCTGCTTCTCCTGCTCCTCCACCTCAGGGTCGGGCTTGGTACGGAGGTGGTCCGGTACCACCTCATGGCTGAAGACTGGCACACGCCCTTCTGTCTGTCGCTGGAACAATCGGAGAATCTATGCTCAGAGCCCAACCCTCCAGCAGAGCAGTCACACAACTGGAGCAAAGAACACTGGCTAGGAAGCTAGAGCCCTGCTAACAATTTGCTGTTGAGGGATTTTGATCTACAAAGCATTAAAAGGTTTGGGTCCTATCTAATCAGGTTCTTACACTACGCCTGTCCTCATGGTATCCAAACATTCTAGGGGCTACCCGAGATCCCTCTTCTCTCCCAAGGCGATGCCTGCCATGACTGCCACGTTTAGCTGGGATGCTTGTGCTAACAGCCCCCACATTTCAATATCGGGGGGCCTGGGAGTTCTTAGTGGCGTGTCTTGGACTGTGGAATTTACTTCCCTGTTGGTCAGTTAGCCGAGGACACGATGCAAAAGGCAGCCCAGTGGGGAGGCCTGTCAGTACAGGGGATCTCTTTCTGGGGGCCTTGGCCGCACGGTGACTGCATTTTCACAAAGTGGAACAAGGAATATAGACTGTACCAAAGTGCAAGTTCGCAGGTGAAACCTCTCCACACAGCAGCTCTGGGATGAGCCACCCCTCCCCCAAACTGTTCATTCCCCTCTTCCTTCTGTGGAAAGGCTGTGTGTGTTAAGCATTAGGAGGTTGTAGGTGAGTTGGAGCTAGTGCCTGAAGCACATTCCAGCGCTCCATGGGCAACTCTCAGCAGAGCAGAGCTGCCAGGTTCTTACCATGATCTCCTCATCACGGTCTGGAGATAGCACCAGGGGGATGATGACCTGGTTGCGCATTAGGGGCGTCTTCTCATGCTTCAGCACTTTGTTCAGCGTGTTCAACTGGCCTGAGAGCAGTGCAAAACTGTCCAGTACTGAGGGCCTGGGAAGGGAAAGGCGATGAGTGAGACCAGGGAACGGATGCAGGAGACAGAGAGAGCTCTTTCACAGCTCAGCCACAGCTCGTCATCCACTCGTCTCTGCAAGACCTCCAGACCCAGGGGCAGAGCAGGCTGGGGGAGGAAGGGTGGTCTCTGGTATTTGTGAAAGACGCCTGCCTCAAAGCAGGGACTAATAACTCCCCCTCCCCCCGTATGATGCCATGGGTGGTGCCATTCCCAGCACCACTGGAAGGGAAAAGGGGGAGGAGGTGCCTGTAGGTTTTAAATTACATGCACAGAAAGAGATGCAGTTTTCCTCATCGCTCATTTCCCATATTGTGACCCGTATGGCAGTGCCAGAGACACCCTTTAACTTCTACCCAGCACCTGGCACTAGGAGTAGAGAAAGTGCTCATGGTTTGGCTGTTGAGATTAAGAGCCACCGAAGTAGAGAATGTTTCAGGTAGGAAGTTTGCTTAATAAATACCATCACCAAAGCCCCCTTCAACTTTCTTTGATTTCTTGGAAAATCATCAGGGAGGTTCTGACAATTCTGCAGGCCTTTTACAATGCTGTGTATAAACACAGTGACTCTCTCCAATGCTTCACTGTAGTAGCTGACATTAAAGAGAGACTGCATAGTTTAGATAGCAGCTCAGCCATTTTGTCCTGAATGTCCTTCAGAAGGCGAATGTCATTATGTGATTGACATCAAAAACCTCTAGGCAAATGCACAGCAACGTCAAACAACAAATGCAAGAACTATGTTTGTGCAGGGGTCAGGTGGCATAGCTGGCAAGACCAAGAAACGTGGAACGAACAATTTACTTATCGTATAGTAACTGTGGGTTTTCAAGATGTCTTCTCCAAGTGGATCCCACTCAAGGTGTGCTTGGGGAGCCACGCACACAGTTTCATGCACGAGGCCCAAGCGCATCATGTAAGATCCACATGGACAAAGATTCAAAGCAACAACTACGATTTTTACTGCCACACATAGGGTGGGGCTGGGGGGATGGCCTGGGTAAGATACAGAGAAAGATATCGTGGCCCTAATCAGGAGCAGTAAAAGAATGAGATGGATCTGGTCTCTCTCAGATCTCAGTGCGATTCGGTCCCTGGCTGCGATTAAGGAGCTCAAGGCTCCGTTGAAGTTCCCGATTTAACGACGATCCCAGTCTCCCTTGGAATTGTACCTGCCTCAGTTTGGTACCAAGGAGCTGCAGGTCAGTGCCGAACCAAGGATGCAGCTCAGAACTGAGGATAGATCATACAAGTCCTCGTACATCCCCTTCGCTAGAACCCCTATGGAGGATGACTGCTGGTGGTATGGGCAGACAGATCTGAAAGCCATCTCTAGCAGGGATAAAATCCAGCTGGATCTTTCCTTTCAGTGAACTTTCAGATCTGAGAATGCTGAGAAGCCTGACCAGATCCACCTGTCTGTGCCTTTGCATATTCATTCATAGATTCACAAATTCCAAGGCCAGAAAGGACCATTGTGATCATCTAGTCTGACCTCCTGTACAGCACAGGCCAGAAAACTGCCCCAAAATAATTCCTAGAGCACACCTTCTAGATAAACATTCAATCTCGATTTAAAAATTGCCAGTGACAGAGAACTGACCGAGACGTTTGGTAATTTTTTTCAATGATTAAATACTCTCACTGTCAAAAATTTACACCTTATTTCCAGTCTGAATTTGTCTAGATTGGATCAGCCATTGGATCGTGTTCGACCTTTCTCAGCTAGACTGAAGAGCCCATTATTAAATATTTTTTCCCCATGTAGGTATCGTACTTATAGTCTGTAAATCAGTCCTTAACCTTCTCTTTGTTAAAATAAATAGATTGAGCTATTTTAGTTTATCAGTATAAGGCAGGTTTTCTAATCCTTTATTCATTCTTGTGGCTCTTCTCTGACCCCTCTCCAATTTATCAACATCTTTCTTGAATTGTGGGCACTAGAACTAGACATAGTATTCCAGCAGCGGCCACAACAGTGAAAAATATAGAGGAAAAATAAACTCTTTTACTCCTATTCAAGACTCCCCTGTTTATTCATCCCAGGATAACATTAGCTCTTTTGGCCACAGTACTGGGAGCTCATGTTCAAATGCTTATCCACCACGACTGACAAAAATTTTTCAGAGTCACAGCTTCCCAGGATAGAGTCCCCCATCCTGTAAGTATGGCCTATGTTTCGTTCCCAGATGTATCCATTTAGCTATATTAAAACACACATTCTTTGTTTGCGCCCAGCTTAACCAGGAGATCCAAATCACTCTAAATCAGTGACCTGTCCTCTTCATTATTTACAACTTCCCTTAATTTTGGTGTCATATGCAAATTTTATCAGTGATGATGTTGTGTTTTCCTCCAGCTCACAGATACAAATGTTAAACAGCGTATGGCCAAAAACTAATCCCTGCGAGACACCACTGGAAACACATCCACTTGATGATCATTACAATTACCTTTGGAGACCTATCAGTTAGCCAGTTTTTAACCCATTCTATGTATGCCATGTACATTTTATATCCTTCTAGTTTTTTGTTTTGTTTTTTTCCAGGCAAAATGGTGTGCAGTACCAAGTCAAACATTTCACAGGAGTCTATCTATGTTACGTCAACACAAATCCCATTATCAACCAAACTTGCAATCTCATCAAATAGAGATGTTAAGTTAGTTTGACAGGATCTATTTTCCATAAACCCATGTTCATTGGAATCAGTTACATTGCCTTCCTTTAATTCTTTATTAATCGAGTCCTATATATGGAAATGCTCCTTCCTTTCCTTGGGGTTGGACATTCCTTTCCATAAGGACTAACTCACAAGACAAGGTCACATTTCAGAGCACATGCACTACTGAGCTGTGTAGGGTAATTCTGTTCTTTCTAGGGTCTTACACCGTGCCCATCACCATGGCATCTGAATGCGTAAAATGTGGCCATTTTTAGAAGTGGGAAAAGTGGGGAGTTCACCCCCCCAGTGACCTCAGAAACACCAGAGAGGATTGTGCTCAAACTCTCCTATGAAGTTAATCTCTGGGCAAAGACCAAACCTTGAAAATTTCAACCCCAAAGTTGAATTTTCACAGTTGAAAAGTCATGACAGCATATAGGGAGAGATGTGTCTCCCTCAAACACTTCAATACTGTGGTGATAGGCGCTGCATAAAAACCCTAGGACAAAGACCCAAACCGAGATTTAGAAATCAATTGGAACGCTGGACTAACAAGCAAGAAAACCACCCACATTAGATCAGATGACAGAACCAGACCCTTTCTAGAGTGAAGAATATCGTGCACGACTATCCCTACATTCCCTAGAAGTTCTATGGCCTGTGCTATATAAGAGGGTTGAGTAGATGATCACAGTGGTTCCTTCTGGCCTTAGAATCTATACAGAGCAAGGGGGGGGGTCCCTGCTTACTCCATTCCTGACTGGTTCCGAAGCACACTTTGCTCAGGAACCAACACAAGGAGCAGGCACCTCTGTAGTTTGCACGCCTTCTACAAGGCTTGTGGCTGCTTCTTTGTTCAGAAGATCACCTGCCAAACCCAGTGCGTGGGCACCTCCCCTCCAAAATCACCTGACCGTCATGGCAACACCAGCAATTGCTAACATGAAAAGTAATTATTAAGAAAAGATTTTTTGGGTGGGGATTCTTTTCATGGGATTTAGCAGCTGGAAATAAGGTCTCTGTGAACCCCAACAAGCAGAATGTAGAGCACATCTTGCACAACAGGACAGATTAGCCATGACACCCCACACTCGCAAACATGCACACCCTCTTACCAGGTGAGCCGGTCATACTCATTCTCTAGCTTATAGATGAAGCTGACCAAGGAATTCTTCAGGTCAGCCACCTGGCTAATAAGCGCCTCCAGGGACAATTCGAGCTGCTTCTCCTCCCTCTGCAGAAAGCGGGAAAGAGAGGAGTTAGGACAAGGCCTAGTGCTCTCCTCAGCCCCAGAAATGCACAGAGGTCACCAGATACAAACACACATGCATCGCCCCACTCCCCCTTAGCAGATAGAGCAATACCATTCTTCCAGGAGAGAAACATGCTGGAGATAAAATGCCCGGGGTTTCTTCTGTCACAGCCCCATTTCCCTTCGGCCAGGAACTCAGTCTCGTGCAGCTCACAGGCAGCTGGTCTCTCCTGGATTTCCTAAGCACCACTAGACCCGACCCCCTTAGGTACCCACCTCAGACTCAGGTACCAGCCTCTTTCCCTCACCCCCTGCCTTTGGTCTTGCACTGACCACTTGTAATTTCCAGTGGCCATGGAACCTGTAGGCTCCCATGTTTCATCTGCCATTTTTAATTTGTGGCTGGTGCTCAGACACCGCGGTGATTAGGGTCATACAAGTACCTAGACCCACAAAGAGAGTTGACTACTGCCTTTCATTTCAAAGTGTTTCATACCGACATACAGTCATCTCACTGACAGGGGGGAGGGATAGCTCAGTGGTTTGAGCATTGGCCTGCTAAACCCAGGGTTGTGAGGTCAATCCTTGAGGGGGCCACTTAGGGATCTAGGGCAAAATCAGTACTTGATCCTGCTAGTGAAGGCAGGGGGCTGGACTCGATGACCTTTCAAGGTCCCTTCCAGTTCTAGGAGATGGGATATCTCCATTAATTTATTATTTATTTATTATCCTTTGGGATGGAGGGTGGCAGACAACTGGGGCACAGCATGCCACCTAACAGATGAGTGAGTCTCTGCAGCCTCGGAAGCTGGGTCAAACCCCGGACTCTTACAAAAAGCACCCTAGGATCTCGGCTACTATATGTTACTTACACAGTAGCAGAGTTGCACAAAATTCTTTATGAAACACAGTTGGACTAGGTCCCTGCCCCAATAATTTACCAATGTAAACCACAAAGAGAAGAATAATACGCCAAGGAGGGTGGGAGAGAGCAAACAATGGGAAGGGAATGCTGATTGGGAAAGCAGATCATGACACAGTCTTTTTACAGGCATCCACCCATGGCTCTCACCACACCCTTCCTGTCTCAGAGCAACCATCCGTCTCCATCCTCCTCCCTTCCCCCCCACCGGGTCCATCTTCCCATCCTGGTTACCATCCCCCCTCTACGGTTCCCACCAGCTCTACTCATCCCATTCCAATCTACCACTCCTCCCACCACAAATCCAGATCCCACATCCACATCCTTCTCTACCACCTCCTCCTCCTCCTCACCTCTGCTGACATTTGCATCAGTCCTGGTCCTCCCTCCATCCCTACCCGCTCCACCTCCCACACACATGTCCACCATCACCTCTGCCCCCTCATGGCACCATTCCCAACCTCCTACCTATTCTCCTCCACTCCCATGCCCTACCCTCTCTCTCTTTGGAACACCACGCCATTTCTAAAAAGATCACAGCCATCCACAAACACTTCATATCTCCCTCCTACCAGCTCCTGGTTCTCACAGAGACCTGGATCCCTTCGTCTCATCCAGCCTTTGCAGCTGCCCTCTTATGAGGCCCCCTCCTTCTCTTACACTTCCCACCCTGGATCAGATCGTAGTGGAAGTGTTGGACCTCTCCTCTCCTGCTCCTACAGCTTCCATCCTCTCCTTCCTCCCCACCTTGAAAAGCACTGCATGTGACTCTTCTCTCCTCTCCCACTCCACCTTGCTCTCATCTACCATCCACTTAGCTCCTCCCCATCAGCCTCCCTCTGGCTCTCCTTCCTCTCCTCGCAATCTCCCACATTCATTCTCAGTGACTTCAACGTCCACGTTGATAACCCATCCAACCTCTCAGCTGCACATTTCCTTACCCTTCATTCAACCTGCAGCCCTGGTGCAACTCTTGCACTCACCAAAAGGGCCATTCACTTGACTCAGTCTTCACCAAGCACTGCTCTCTCTAACTGTTGCGTTCCCTCTCTCTGACCATCACCAGCCCTCTTACAGCGCCACCCATCAGCCCTGCCCTCCCGCCCTGGCACTCGCCTTTTCTGTTTGCCTCCAGCCCATCAGCGCTTCTCCTCTGCTCTCAGCCCTCTCCTCCCTTCATAGGATTGTTGATTCACTCCAGGCTTCACTCACCTCCACCCTTGATTCTTTTGACCCTCTCTCTCATCACAAGGTCCACCTTGCCAATCCCCAACCTTGGCTCACCCCCAACATCTGTTTCCTCTGTGCCCGCTCTCACACTGCAGAGCATCTCTTATGGATGAGCAGGCTGACTTCCTCCACTACAAATCTGTTCTCACCCGTTTCAGTTCTGCCATCTTCCTAGCTAAACAACATTACTTCTTCAACTTCACTGACTCCTATGGCTGCAATGCCAACTGACTTTTCACCACCTTTGACTCAGGCTTTGTCTACACTAGCACTTTTGTTGACAAAACTTTTGTGGATCGGGGTGTGAAAACACACACCCCTTACTGACATAAGTTTCACTGACAAAAGCACCAGTGTGGACAGCACTATGTTGGCAGGAGACACTCTCCAGCTGACATAGCTACCGCTGCTCATTGGGGGTGGTTTAATTATGCCGGCAGGAGAGCTCTCTCTCCCGCCGGCGTAGAGCGTCTGCATAGGAGCTCTTACAGTGGCGCAGCTGCAGCGATGTAGCTGTGCCGCTGTAAGGTCCATAATGCAGACATGGCCCCACTCTTCAAACACACCCCTTCTCCTGCCACAGGATCTCACTGATTTTGTTGACGAAATACGACACGACCTTCCCCCTCCCCTCGGCTTGCCTTTCCCTTCACCCTTCCCCTCCAACATCTCTCCTTCTGCACTTTCACACATACAAAAGTGTCTCATCTGCTCCCTTCCTCTAACCCCTCCAATGGCCCCAGTGAACCAGGGATAGCTCAGTGGTTTGAGCATTGGCCTGCTAAACCCAGGGTTGTGAGTTCAATCCTTGAGGGGGCCACTTAGGGATCTGGGGCAAAATCAGTACTTGGTCTTGCTAGTGAAGGTAGGGGGCTGGACTTGATGACCTTTCAGGGTCCCTTCCAGCTCTATGAGATATGTATATCTCCATATATTATTTATTGTTATTTATCTCCTGATCTCCCTCACTGCCCACTCTGATCCTGACCCTCACTTTTCTCCTTAAACTCTCATTATTCTCAGGCTCTTTCCTCTCTCACAATACAAACATGCTTTAGTCTCTCCCATCTTAAAAAAACAAAAAACAAAAAACCTGTAACCTCACTTGCCTCTCCAACTACTTCCCTGTCTCCTAGCTCATTGAACATGCTGTCTACAGTCACTGTCTGAGCTCTTCTCCTCCAATTCCATGTTAGACCCTCTCCGATCTGGCTTCCACCCCTTGTGCTCCACTGAAATCACTCGCCCTTTTAGTTGCCCTTTTCTGAACTTTTTCTAATGCCAGTATATCTTTTTTGAGATGAGGAGACCACATCTGTATGCAGTATTCAAGATGTGGGCGTACCATCGATTTATATAAGGGTAATAAGATATTCTCCATCTTATTCTCTATCCCCTTTTTTAATGATTCCTAACATCCTGTTTGCTTTTTTGACTGCTGCTGCACACTGCGTGGACATCTTCAGAGAACTATCCACGATGACTCCAAGTTTCAGAGTGGTAGCCATGTTAGTCTGTATCAGGAAAAAGAACGAGGAGTACTTGTGGCACTTTAGAGATTAACAAATAAGGTGCCACAAGTACTCCTCGTTCTTTTTGATGACTCCAAGATCTCTTTCCTGATTAGTTGTAACTAAATTAGCCCCCAACATATTGTATGTATAGTTGGGGTTATTTTTTCCAATATGCATTACTTTACATTTATCCACATTAAATTTCATTTGCCACTTTGTTGCCCAATCACTTAGTTTTGTGAGATCTTTTTGAAGTTCTTCAGTGTCTGCTTTTTTGGTCTTAACTATCTTGAGCAGGTGGCAAACTTTGCCACCTCACTGTCTACCCCTTTCTCCACATCATTTATGAATAAATTGAATAGGATTGGTCCTAGGACAGGCCCTTGGGAAACACCACTAGTTACCCCTCTTCATTCTGAAAATTTATCATTTATTCCTACCCTTTGTTCCCTGTCTTTTAACCAGTTCTCAATCCATGAAAGGATCTTCCCTCTTATCCCATGACAACTTAATTTAGGTAAGAGCCTTTGGTGAGGGACCTTGTCAAAGGCTTTCTGGGGCAGGGGCTGCCAGCAGCAGGGCCCCAGGGCTGGATGGAGGTGAAGTAACCGCTCTGCTCCTACTGCAGGACCCCCCAGCTCTATCAGCCACAGCCCCCCTCCAGCCATGCCCCACCCCCCTGTCTCACACAGCGCCCCCTCCAGCCATGCCCCGCCCCCCAGCCATGCCCCGCCCCCTCCATCTCACACAGCCCCCCCAGCCATGCCCCGCCCCCTCCATCTCACACAGCCTCCCCAGCCATGCCCCGCCCCCATGTCTCCCACAGCCCCCCCTCTCCCGCACCTCTCAACACAGCAGCCCCTCACACAGCACCACAGCCATGCCCCGCCCCCCTCCATCTCCCATAGCCCCCCCAGCCATGCCCCGCCCCCTCCGTCTCCCACAGCCCCCCTCTCCCGCACCCCTCAACACAGCAGCCCCTCCCACAGCCCCCCAGCCATGCCCCGCCCCCCTCCATCTCCCACAGCCCCCCAGCCATGCCCCGCCCCCCACAGCCATATCCCGCCCCCCTCCGTCTCACACAGCCCCCCCAGCCATGCCCCGCCCCCTCCATCTCACACAGCCCCCCCAGCCATGCCCCGCCCCCTCCATCTCACACAGCC